TATATATATATAAAGAGAGAGAGAGAGAGAGAGATACACGAATTTTTCTTAAGAATAGTGAAAATTAGTGCATTCCACCTTAAAGGGGTGACAAGAAAGAGAAAAATCTCAATGAGGTATAAATTTAAATATACTAATCATAAGAAAACATTGTAGACATTTTAATTTTTATGAGTTTGTTAGCTGGTCTCCAAATAGTAACAAAAAACCTTTGTGCCCAACTGCCTACCATTTCAATTTCTATGATCGGTTCAGATTATATTATTGATTATGAGGTAGAAAATGCAACAAACGTTAATCAAATGGTCGTATTTGAACTGCCAACAAAGGCTGTCACTTGCTAGCTGTTTCTTTTCTCTTCCAAGTGTTCCTACTTTGAAGAGTTATTCAACCAAATAAATTGAATATATGAAAAATTATTAATTAATTTCAATTAAAAATACACGCCCAAGATTTAATCATTCATTAATACTTGCAAAAAATATTCATCGAATGGATTACTCTAATTAGATCATAAAATTTAGCTGCATTTTTTTTTTTATATTGACAATTGTAATAGGGTCATTTACTTACGTTCCACGCAATTCTTATATAGCTATATATCTAACACCTATATTTTCATTTTTACATTTATAAAATATATCATATGACATCAGAAATATTCACTAACTATTAAAATTTGGCGTGCACTTTTTCATGCACGAGTGATATAAATATAAAAATTAAAATTCAGGTGTTAGATGTGTAAATAAATAAGAAATGTGTTGGCATGTACGTAAATCTTCCATTTAAACAATACTTGTAGGCTGTAGCCCCTTTTCAAGAAAATGTTTTCGACGCCCATCATTTCTTAATGCAAATAAATATCTTAAAAATTAGATCTAATCAGTATTGAAGTTTTACCGAGTTTTCTTAATCTAATGTGTAGAAAGCATTAAATACTATATTTTTAGGGTGTTAATTCTGATGTGCAGGTAAATAATATATATATATATATATATATATATATATATATCAAAAGAAATAATAACATTTACATACATACGACTCAATTCCTATGCATTTAAATATCTTAAACTTTATTTTTACATTTATACCGCCCAAATCTTTTATATCAAATAAAAAATATCACTATTTTCACTTCTAAAAATGCACATTTTCAGCATGGATAAGATGATATATATATATATACATTGAAACTTAGGTGTTGGGTATGTAAATACAAAAATACATAGGAATTGTGGTATGTACGTAAATTTTTCATAATAATAATAATCAGCAAGTTAATGTTAGGCGGGCTTCGTGAAATGATAAATGGAGAGATTTGAAATTTGTGAGATTATGATATGTCAAAATCTATGACTTATTTTCAATTGAAGGTCACAGAGGTTTCTTAATTCTATCAACTAACTAGAGAAAGCCATGATATTCAGGCTGATGGCTGCTACCAAATGGGTATAAGCGATTACGTTGCTGTTTGTGAATCAAACATATTTAGTTACATCGGTATAAAAAATGTATCAAAGTTTTTATTTTTAAAATCTCAATAATGAGCTTTTTAAAAGCTAAAAAATTAAGAAGTCAAAATTAAATAGAAAAATTCATGAAATTAAGTTGATATTATACTTGTAGGCTATGTAATTTTTTTTATTTTTGTTCATAATCAAACTCCAACCAAGAACTAAATTTCAAATTGTTCATAACCGACTAAGTTAAATTTTGTTAAACTTTCGTTCAACCGGTTCAATTTTATCAGAATTTTAATTGGTTCGGTTGTAGGAGTTTAGATGCAATCGATTTGACCGATTTGAAAATCAATCTATCCAACCGATAGAAAGGTCAACCTTTCGGATGGCTGGTGTGTGTGAAGGACATTGTAGCGAGCAAGAGTGGCTAGTAATTGAGAGTTGCTATCAATTGAAGACAGCATGGGCACGAGAGATGATGTTTTGTATAAAAGAGAAACGGAGGATTGGGTCCAAAGTTGGGAATAGTGGCATCCGTTGCGAATGTGCATAATAGTGGGATATATAGCACAAATGAGGGAGACCCCATAGAGAATGCTAGAATTCACCAAAGATGATAGAATAGCCAAGTAAATAAGTAGGAGTGAGAGGAAAGGCAACGAGGGGGCTAGTTTCTTAGATGTTGGGGCTATAACAAGCATGTTTATACATAAGCAGATAAGGAACAAAAAGAGCATATTCTCAATAAATAAGAATATATTACAGCAATAACTACTGAAGATTCCTATAATTTTTTTCAAGATATGTGGTAAGCAGATACAATAACAATAAGATGAATCTAGTTTTTCCATGATATACAACAATAATAAAGTACCTTCAGACAACAAAATTCATAGAGATATGGTGGGCGGGTACCACGTCGAATTTCGAGCATTTATGTGAGATTAAAATAAAGCTATATTTAACTAATTTCACCCAAAAATTAAATCTAAAAGCGGTCAGTTCTACGTGATCCAAATATACAACTAGTTCATTCTTGTAGGATGCAACAAAAAAAGAGAATAGTGCCAAAATGGTCCTCTCACTCTTTGGAGGGGACAATTTTAGACTCAATTTATAAAAGCGTAACTTTAGTCCTCAAATTCTTTTAAAACGAATTGAAATAATCCTTGGTGAGATTTTGTTTTAGCCCCCATTAAAATAATTTGGGAACTAATTTAACATTTTTATAAACTCTGAGACTAAAATGACTATTTTGGCACTTTGCTCCAGTATAAAAATGAAAAACTCTTCATATGCATGTCACCCAATCTCTTTATCACTTTTATGGGCACAGGAAGAGTTGTGTTCATCAAATTCCAACTCAATCTTCTTCTATTTAATACGAAGACAATAAAAATATTTATAAAAAAGTCATATTTTACAATATAAAATACCATCTTATGAAATAAAAAGAATTATCTTACAGTTCAACTTCTTGTTTCATGAACTAAATTTAAACAGGGATGTCACGAGCCAATATTTTTCCCAAACAAAGCACAGTATCTGACACAATATTTTGATCAAGTCAAATAAAAGGTACTATAAATTTTGACTGAAATAATTTTTTTTTTAATCAGCAACAATAAACATTGGTTCAATCTATTATATATAAAAAGCTACTTGTTATGTTGTGTGACAAAATATAATGTATGTTTTATGGATAAAATTAATCATTATATAAGTTTAAAAAGTAAATTGTAGTTCAGATGAGCTCTACCTGCACCAAGCAGCATATCTGGTGCCAGAAGTTGCAAGTTTCCATTCCCCATCTGTTGGGCACCAGGACCCATCACCAATCTTAACGCACAATTTCTCCCCAATGATTGCAGCATACAGGCTTGATTTGGATTCCAATATTCTAACACTGGAGCGGCTGTGGATATCTTGATTTCTTCGTACATCCATCTTAAAAAATTTTAAAAAAAAAAAGTTTAGAAAAAAATATCAATGGAATGAAAGTTTTAAAAATATACAGGAAGTACCAGTTTCACAATTTGATCATGAATGGATTTTCCCCAGTCATAGAAATGATCATAGAATACCGTAGGTATTCCAGGATGAGTGAGTATGTAGGCGTATCCCTGAAAAAGTATTAAACTTCATCAAGTTCAAATATAACCTTCATCCACAAAATTGAATTTGCAAAAAGACTATTCAACATATAATTTTCCAAGGCAAATAATTGGTATTTACGCAATAAAACAATCTGTTTGAACATGGTGGGCATCCTGTAGAGAAAAAAAAATTAGGATCCATCGATGTGTAGTTTCCTTGATGATAATTTTTTTTATGTAACGAATTATACAAATTAATTTTGTGGTACCTCCTCTCAATTATCCATGGAGGTAAATTGAGGCCTTGTAAATCCTTAGCCACTCAATGATAGCTGTCTGTGTTAGTGTGTCAATTAAGCTCTGAGATCACATTCCTCATTCAATACTAAAACACACTCTCAAACTTGGAATAATGTGATGCTATTTTAGCTTGAATAAACATTTTCCTTGAATTAAATTAACACCATTCTAGGGTTCCTAGAAGTTTTTGAGGAAGCGGATTGAGTAGGGAGGTGATTGTGGAAGAGCAAGGGAATGATAATATGTGAAGTCGATTATATTTGAAAGGTGATGGGAAGAGCACGTTCGGTGGTTACCCGAGCTGAAAATAACAGAGAGAACCATGAAATGTCGGCTCTGACAAGGCATGGTTGCCTAGAAAAATCCACCACTTATTCTTCAACAAGCTACAAACACAACACTTGCTAAAAGAAGTTGATTAAATACTCTGTTGATAGGAAATTAGAGAATAAAATCTCCAATATAAACAAAACAAATCGAAAGTCTCCTCTACTAGGTTCCATGTAAGATATTTATACTAATACCTCAATTAAACCTTAATTAGAAGTCAAATATAGTCAATAATGGTCCAAAGAACCTCTGATAGTATAAAAAATAAATAAATTCCTGAAGATTCTCCTAGGACAAAAGGTCGCCTCGTCTGATTCCGTAATCGCGAGATTTCAGATCCCACTCCTGTGTCGTGCCCAAAACCTGATTCCGCATTTTGCATTCTATGTTGACATCCTCATCTGCACCCGCAACCGCGTTTGTCTCGTGTTTATATCATTGTCTCGCATAAAAAATACTTCGTTTTTAAAATATTTATAACATCACAAAAGAGAACACTAAATGTAGAAATTAGATTTGGAGAGGAATAATTCCTTGATTTTATTATTCACATGTATGGGACATAGATAGGGAAAATAATCCCTCCTAATTTATAAACTTACCATATATATCTAATTTAAATTAGGAAATTAAATAAATAAGAAATTAAAAAAAGAAACAAAATAGGAAGGGAATAAAACTAATCAAGGGCTTTCCAAAATAGCCCCCAATCAAATCCTCCATAATTTCTATGAGAGCCAGCTGGTCCACTCTAGCATGCAGTTGAAATCGTTCTTAGTTTTCCACACCCCCCTGTCTCCATCCACAATCAAGTTTGTCTCTCATGCTTTATATCCGCATCCCGCCCAGAAATACTTCATTTTTCAAAATATTTATAACATCATCACAAAAGAGAACACTAAGTAGAAAACAGGTTCGGAGAGGAGTAATTCTTTAATTTTATTATTCACATATAAGGCACATAAATATCGGGAAAAATAATCTCTTCTAATTTACAAACTTACAAAATATATCAAATTTAAATTAGAAATTAAAAAAAATCTGAGAAAAAAAAATAAACAAAATAGGAAGGAAATAAAATTAATCAAGGGGTTTCCAAAGTAGTCCCCAATCAAATATTTATGCTAGCCAACTAGTCCACTCTAGCATGCAACTGAAATCCTTCTCAATGTTCCACACACCCCCCTCACCACCTTACCAACCCTCAAGTTGGGTCGTTGATGTTGTAGAGACCGAGTTTGACATTGAATTTTGAGGTGGTTAAAGGAAGTGTTTTGGTGAAGATATCAACAATTTCTGTCACCACTCGACCCAATGTTTGGAATTAACCAAGAAGGGAAAAACGGTCGGTGAAAATAAATTATCTGGTATTCTATTTCTCTCTGATTTTCTCATTTCTATCACAAGCAGATTAATATTCAAATAATACGTCAAAAAGAGCCACTAAATAAGGCAATTAAAATTAACAAGTAAAAATTTGTATCTTTTCGTTTTGTTCTCACATACTGTACACATTACCTCCTCTTCTATTCATTTTAGTCAAAAGTGTAAACCTGAAAAGAAATGTTAAAACAACATAATGAGTTTTTTTAAGATATACTAGAGTAATCACACTTCTAAACTACAGTAACTCAATAAAAGGAAATTGATATGCATGTAGGTCTCACATTTTTTTATAAGAAATTTTGGAACATACTGATCTTTCATATTTCTATAAAAAAACTCATATATGTTAATGCATATATTAATGATCTTTTCTAAATGAAAATACTCAAATTTTTAATATGAATTTACTTTTATTTTACATTTACTTTATACTCTTTACACACGCATTGTCTGCTATTAGGATCACCGTCAAAACAACCAAACATACCTTGGTCGATATTGTCCAGTCGACACATCGGTTAGTGATGTAAACATCACAATTGTCTAGGGTTGAAAGACCCTAACTTACCCTTGATCATATTATCTCGTCAGCACAACAGCTAGAGATCGATACATCATAATTGTCTGGGGTGTTAAGCTTTGTCTACTAGCCCCTGACTGATATTATCCTGTTAGCACAGTAGTTAGTGAATTAACTATCACAATTGTCTGTGGTGGTAGAAAAATCTCTACGCGTGGGTGTATTGTCATCTCCTGCTTGTACAATTAGGGGGTGAGCTCCTCCAAATATGCACATACAGACATTCATGTATAGCAGATTTTCATTTCATACTTCAAAGGATACATTGCTTTCATGTGAGACGTGTATTTATTTACTAAAAATCATGGAGCTCTAGTAAAATATAAAATCATATGATAATCTAAAAGATGCACATTTACTCTAGTGTTAAAGGTCAAATCACAATCTGACATATATATCTAGTCATACAATAAGCTAACATATACATCTTTATTAGAAGATACAGATCGTGTAGTAATCTGATATCTTCATAAATTAAACCATAATGCAACCGTTAAAACAACAACAATTAGCATGTATATATCATGACTGACAATATGAAGAATAAATGGTGAGTTAATTTCATTGTGCAATTGTTTAACATGCACAATTTCCTATCTTACAATACGAAGAATCTACTATAATTTGCGTATCACTAGAATAAATCATAAATGAAATCAAACATACATAAAAATGATGAATATTAATGCAATTCAGAAATATAATTACTCATCCTAATTAATAGGTGACCTCTTTATTAGCTTAATCCTCCACTTAACTTACTTGCTAGCCTCCCTAACCTCAATTAATCTAATTTCATATTAACATAATAAATATATATCAACTTAATGTATATAAAATTCTAATAAATAAATCTAACACAAAAGTTTACCTTAACTCATAACCTAGAGTTTCAATACGCTTCGGCTCTCCATTTCACGCCAATGATTCTTCCCCTTCCATTGCACAGAAAGTTCGGGTCACATTAATCCTATAATTTCAAGACTTTAATATCTTCTAATATTAAATGCACTTAAATCTAACATTTAAATAACAATGTAACAATAATTATTATAATATTAATGATAATAATATTAATACTAATAATAAAATCTCTTCACACATGCATAAAATTCTCCTCTTTCTCTACAACTTCAGTCGCTACTCGACAAATGCATTCCTTTCCTCACACACCGAAGCTTCGTCTCAGCTCGAACCCAAAACCTCCTGCTTCATACAAAAGCCGCTCTATAAGAGTAGGACGAGGTCAAACCTCCACCGCACGCACCAAGCTGCGTCCTCACCTTCTCCCATTCTTCTCAACAGCTCGCGACCACGTTCCTCACACAGGTCCTCTTCTCCTTTGCTCCAATGAGTATACGACATTGCTTCAGCGTCAACTCCAATTCTTCACAAACTCCAAGCCTCTACTTCCCTTCTTTCTCTCTTCTTCTCGCCTCACCTGCTACGGCGTTCCTCTTCATGCAAGCACTTGCCCACTTCGTCGAAGCCCAAGGTGTCCTCTGCCTCTTCTCCTTCATTTACGGCTAGGGCACAAGCTTCCTTCTCACAGGAAATGAAATTCTCAACTCTCCATCTCTCGCTCTCTCTCAGTTTTTGTTGCTTCAAAAAGACATACAACTCTTCAAGTCATAATGAATGACTGCTTCTATGCGTCGCCTCTATCATAGTGGGAGTCATCCTTCGCAGAACCCTAGCTCTGATGCCATCAAGGATTTTGTGAGAAGAAAAAATACTATTTTTTCGTTATATTCCATAAGAGAGATTTACAAGGTAAATAGCAGAAGAGGGCCAACAAATTAGAAAGGCCAAAATTAGTCACAAAGTTTTCATGCTAGAAAATAGGATACTAACAACAATAAAAAATTCTAAAAATAGAGAATACAAAAAAAAAATCTAATTTTGGTCCTAAATATCTGACATCCATTTGTGATCCATAAGATCATGACAAAAAAAATGGACACCGAAAGAGATGTCACTAAAATCGGTGCCAGGATACCTCAATTGCCATTGAAGATGTTCAAATATTACTTGATCGCGAAGTTAACCATGTCATCGCATTCAGAACGTCAAAATTTCTTTATGACCACTTGATGAAGAGGAAGGTCACTTAATGTGTTTTCATACAAAATATAGTTGTATTATATCAAATGCTGCAAGGAGGCTGCCAAAATTCCACCAAGAACGACACTTACAAGGGACAAAAATGACTTGCAGGTTAAAAAACAAATCTTCAGAATGAACCTACCAAGTAAAAATCCACATAAATAAGAATAAATTGTACACTTAATTGTTAAGAATCACACTTAAAAGAAAGAAACAAATACATAAATAACTTAAAATGAACATATGAGGGACTTATCAGAACTTGATGACTCATTTAGCACATGAACATGACCCTTCTACTCTTATTGACCACTACAAATCTTCA